CTATAATTACAGTGTTTTACATTATACTACTTACATACATGTAATGTATGTAACCTATGGCAGGCGGAACTTCAACACATACTAATTATGCAAATGATGACCTAATTTGCATAATTAATGCGAGAAGTCCAGACAGGAACAACATATTTTCATTATTTTTGGTGTGTAGGTAGCTGAGAGAGAGTGGTACATAATTAAATGCAAATTATGCAAATGAGGACTTAATTTGCATAATTAATGAGGAAATTCTATAATTACAGTGTTTTACATTATACTACTTACATACATGTAATGTATGTAACCTATGGCAGGTGGAACTTCAACATACTAATTATGCAAATGATGACCTAATTTGCATAATTAATGAAAAATTCTATGATTTCGTAATGTTGAATGATGAGAATGTCATACTTGGGACATCTGTAAGTTAATCAAAAGTTAACATACATCACGATGCATATATCATGTTAATGCAGAGGTCATTTGCACAATTAAACAAGAAATTTACATTTACATATCAAGATCATATTTCATGGAGGTATGAGATCTCGGAATTCTAGTTATCTATTAATTTATTTATTTGTATCAACAACAGCATAAGCCGCGGCCGTGACGTACAAGCCTGATGCTTGTTTACAACATAAATCTTTAACCATTAATTGTAGGGTCATCATAGATATCAATACAAATTACAATCACGTCTAAATCAACAAATTAATCACTTTGACTCAATGAATTTAAATATTTACAATAATACATTATATCACTCAATGTTATTAACATAGAAGTACAGTCATCATAAATAAATAAATAAATAAATCATTTCTTTCCCAAACTGTATGACGGCAAACAACAACTTTGGCAAATACATAAGGCACTGTTAACATTTTCTATAGCTTTAAGTTAATCTCTTAATATGACTTTGTAGAATGTGAAGAAAAGTCTATGCTTCTATTTGGGTAGCCCAAATTGTAGCCTCCCAACACACTACAACAAGAATTTTGAACTGCAAATCTCCACAACCCACGAACTACTTACTAATAGTTATGTTATGATGTATTTTATACACCCTGATTTGGGGCCTACAAAATTGTTCGTTTCACCTGCTATCAGAATTTTTGTTTTGGTCTTTCAGTGCGCATGGGTAGTTAAGAGAAGAAAGACCTATGAGAGCCAATCAAGGTTCCAAACGTCCAACACAGTCTTTCAGTCATCTCTCTGTGATCATTTTATAATATTCAAATGAAAATAATCTGCAAATTTCCTCTTTTATGATCTTTCAATGATTGTTTTCCTGCTCCGCTCTTGCCATATCTGTCACTCCTTTTTGTCCAACGGCCCCTTTCTTGTAAACGTGGATTTAATTATTGTGTTTCAATCTACATATGCGTAATGGGAATTTGTCTCGTACGCAGTCAGCCCTGTGCCATAAGATAGATTTCTATCATCCAAGGATTCAGTGATGGCCTGAGACTGACCCTGTCCTGTCTGATTATAGATACTGGTCATTACGGTAGCTTTGGGGTTTGTGTTGGAGTCTGTGATAGCCTGAGACTGGCCCTGTCCTGTCTGATTATAGATACTGGTCATTACGGTAGCTTTGGGGTTTGTGTTGGAGTCTGTGATAGCCTGAGACTGGCCCTGTCCTGTCTGATTATAGATACTGGTCATTACAGTAGCCATGGTGTTTCTGGTGGATTCTGCGATGGCCTGAGACTGGCCCTGCCCTGTCTGATCATGGCCACTGGCGGTTTGGCTCGTTAGTGATGTTCCCACACCTGCATACATCGCATTTGGCTTTAAGGCAGCTAGAATTTCGTTATGTGATGGAGGCTGACCTTGCCCTGCCTGGTGATCACAGTTGTCTTTGTTACTTCTAACTTCCAGAAACTTTTGGTCAGCATGAGACTGACCCTGCCCTGTCTGATCATAAATACTGGCCATTATAGTAGCTGTGGCGTTTGTATTAGATTTACTGATGGCCCGAGGCTGTCGCTGCCCTGTCTGATCACGAATACTGGCTGTTACAGTAGCCATGGTGTTTCTGGTGGATTCTGCGATGGCCTGAGACTGGCCCTGCCCTGTCTGATCATGGCCACTGGCAGTTTGGCTCGTTAGTGATGTTCCCACACCTGCATACATCGCATTTGGCTTTAAGGCAGCTAGCATTTCGTTATGTGATGGATGCTGGCCTTGCCCTGCCTGGTCATCACAGTTGTCAATTACAGAAACTGTTGTGTTTGTGTTGCTACCAACAGCATTGGAATTTAGCCCTGGAGGGTGCCTCATCTTCCTCTTGTACCACTTTGTGAGAATGATAGTGCCAATCAGGGCAATGCCAGCTACTGCAACACTAATCACGACAATGAGAACAAGTGAGGGGAAAACGGGGGCAGATTCAGGGGAACTGCTGCTACCTGGTTTTTCGTAAGTGGCTGCAAGGGTTGAAGTTACTAGTGTCGGTCTTGTTTTCCTGCTTTTGCTTGCAGGATGTACCGTTGAGGCGATGATGACATTGTAAGAAACAACAGGACGTGTGTAAGATGTGGACCCTACAGGGTATGCTGTTTGGTCAGTGTTGCTTTTTGTGTTGCCTATTGAAGAAGATTGAGGAAGTGTGACGTATGTGGACCCTACAGGGTACGCTGTTTGGTCAGTGTTGCTTTTTGTGTTACCAATTGAAGAAGATTGAGGAGGTGTGACATATGTGGACCCTACAGGGTATGCTGTTTGGTCAGTGTTGCTTTCTGTGTTGCCAATTGAAGAAAATTTGGGCAATGCAGTTGAGGTGAGTGAGATTTGGATATCTACTGGCAGTGTTGTCGTGGTTGGCTCTTTACAAACCAATTCTTCAGGATTGACATCTGTAAGCTTCTGACCCTTTAACTTATTGGGCCGGTCACATATTATCTGGTCTTTATATGAAGGAAATCGAGTCGTATTTAGCCTTAAGGTAATCATCATACAGTCACACTGCCAGGGGTTTCTGTTAAGTTTTATGGTACGAATAGATGACAACAAGCCATAAGCTGAAGGGGGAATGACAGACACCTTGTTCGACTGACAGTCCAAATTTTGGAGTTGGGGCAAATTTGCAAACGCACAAGAGTGAATGTTAGTTATCTGATTGTAGGACAGATGCAAGTCTTGCAGACGGGGTAGATTTGCAAATGTATCCGACTGGATCATTGTTATCTGGTTGCGATGCAGATACAGCTGTTTGAGCTGAGGCAGATTTACAAATGCACCCGACTGAACCATTGTTATCCGGTTGCGGGACAGATTCACCTTTTTGACCTTGGGTAGATTTTTAAATCCACCTGGCTGAATCACTGTTATCTGACCTGAGAACAACCACAGTTCCTCAAGATGAGGAAGATTTGCAAATGTTCCAGACTGAATCGTTTTTATCCGGATGAAGGACATCCACAGCACTTTAAGCTGACGTAGATTTCCAAATGCATCAGGCTGAATCATTGTTATCGGGTTGTGGGACAGGTCCAACAATTGGACACGGGGCATATATTTAAATGCTTCAAATTGAATCTTTATTATCCGGTTGTGGGACAGGTCCAACTTTTTTAGCCGGAGTAGATTTGTAAACACAACAGGCTGAATCATTGTTATTTGGTTGGAGGACAACCACAACTCTTCTAGCTGAGGCACATATGCAAATGCACAGGGGTAAATCATTGTTATCTGGTTGCGGGACAGGGTCAGCTTTTGTAGCCTTATTAGACTTGGAAAACAATCAACAAAGCTAATGCAATTTCCCCCCAAGTCCAGCTCAATCAAATGCCTATACTGTAACAGCCCAGAATCTTTTACAGTTTTAATAAGATTGTCTCGCAAACGCAACTCAGAAATGGATGTTGGGAGGTTTGGAGGAATGCTGATGAGACCTCGCTTCCGGCATATGCAGCGTGATGATGATGGTGAACAGCTGCAGCCAGCTTCTGGAATGTTGAGCTCCTTCAGGATGATGAGTAGGAAAATCAGCACGTGTCGCAGCTTTCTTCCCATGGTGTCCTTCTACCTAAACAGAACAGGAAGCTTATCTGTAAATTTACCCCATCTTGGCTCTCGAATAAAAACGAAGCTAAGGCTTTAGTTAAAAATGCACATGTAATTAGTGTCTGAGTCGAAGGGAGTACCTTTGCACACACAGCTTCAGGGTGTGAATGTAAAAGAGTATTCGGGAAAGTTGGTTTGCACAGGAGAAAAAATGTAGTCAGATAACCCCCCCCCACACACACACACACACCTTGTTTGACATTTTTTATTACGTTTAAATGTGAGAGAACAAAGAAATTGAATTCATGAGTGAATAAGTTCCTTAAAAAAGACATCTCATCATGGCATGTCTAAACGTAAGCTTATTTTGCATGTATAGACATTTTTCCGTTTTGGATGTCATATGGTACGTCACTTCCTCAGAGCACACGTCACATGCGATGTCACTTCTCTGCTATCCACCAATTTCACACTTTCACACATAATGCCTAGTAAACGTCACGGATATGACGTAAGACCACCCCCCCCCTTCCTCGATGTAATATTTCCAACAAGTTCTATCGACAAACTGGTCAACTATTGTTTTGAATTATTTCTCTAGTATAAAGCGCATGCCATAATTGCATTTTTGTTGGAATTAGAGAAAATGACGTACCTTCTATGGTTCTACCTTCTACCGAAGACTCTCCTACTCGCACGGTCGCATTACGTATATTAGAACGATAGAAGGTACGTCATTTTCTCTATTAATAATAAATTAATTCCAACAAAAATGCAATTATGGCATGCGCTTTATACTAGAGAAATAATTCAAAAAGAATAGTTTACCAGTTTGTCGATAGAACTTGTTGGAAATATTACATGGAGGAAGGGGGAGGGTGGTCATACGTCATATCCTTGACTTTTACTGGCATTATGGGAAGTGTGAAATTGGTGAATTACTACCTTTCAGGTCTCATTCACTTTACATTCTTTTTGCCAGTTTGGCCAATCTACCTGCTTTTGTGTCTCCTAAATTCAGAGATTTCGGAACATTTACATATATCCTACTGGTTTTCTATCCTTTGTTTGCTGCTTTCCTTGTTGCTTTATAGTGTGAATCAAACAGTTTTTTATTCCGGTGGCCTTAGTGATAGGATTGAGTTGATTGTCTGAAACGGACTATTTGAATATGAATATAAAGGTTGTTTACTATTTTTGCTGATATTTTTATGTATGCTTGCACACACCAAATAAAGAATTTGGATAGTAGAAGGATGCAAAATTTGACACGTATCTTAAAAAGGTCCACCTGCCTTAGCTACCTAGCCTATTTCAAAATATCATCACAAACCGCCGTCATAAAACTGTGTACTTCTTTTTTTTATAAATCATTCTTTTTATTGTTTCTTTCAAAAATGTACACAAAAGAAAGCATGACACAAAGAACAAAATAACTGAAACCACATGCATAACAACAAAATAAATAAAAAACAGTAAACAATATAGATGATATAACAAAGTGTTACAAAGAAAAAAGTCAACTGTGTACTTCTTTATGTCACCCAAGTTTGAATAATGCAATTGTAGAAACCTGCGTAGACAAATCAGTTATGGGACCTGCTGTAAGCTTGCCTGAAGCTGTGAGAGGGAAGATTATCGTTACAAAAGGCCTAAGATTATTGTAAACAGACTGTGGGCTGGGAAGGTGGCATAGCCAGTCTGAATTCACTGCTTCTGTCAGAATTTGTCTTATAACTAGAAAGGCCAATATTTGCTTTGGAGCAAATACAGCGATGGGTTCACCACATTTTACGACATGGCAGGGAAAGAATGAGAAACACAAGGGAAAACAATGATTTACATTGATATAACTATAATATGAAGTAACATACGACTAAAACAACAGTTGGATAGCTATTCCCTACTTTATTGGCTAGGATTTTTAATTGCATAATGCAAACTGTTGATTTTCAAAATAAAAATAACGTTCATGCCCCGCATTCCAATGCTGGAGCAGGAAAGCTTGAAATACCTACCAAAACACTTGAATACAGACATACTGTCAGTATGGAAATGCTCTGTGCAGGTGTTAATCAAGTTAAATCCCAACAGCCAATCAGCAAGAAATGCTCTGTGCAGGTGGAAATGCTCTGTGCAGGTGTTAATCAAGTTAAATCCCAACAGCCAATCAGCAAGAAGAATAGAGGAAAGCTGCATGCCTATTGGTTGATGCCCTGCATTCCATTGTGATGACTCATACCCAAACGTGGTAAACATGACACACTAACACAGTAATACATTTGCTATAACACAGCCAAAAAACTCAAATAAAACCATTCTAAAAGCCTGTATCACAAAAATTTAAAAAACGCCTAGGGGTATTTGCCCACTGTACCTCCATACCAAATTTCAGGACCTTAGGCCCTAAAATGAAGAAGCTGAATCCATTTAAAAAATGGCAGGAGAAGAAGAAGAAGAAGAAGGAGGAGAAGGAGGAGAAGAAACACCAGAAAAAGCAATATGGTTTCACCACACCCACTTCGTGGTGTGGTGAACCCATAACTATCACGTCACAAGAAAAAGAATCACGCCTGTTCTCTGTAGTCCGCAAGTAGATGGTGGAGTGGGCTACTACAGTCTAAACCAAAGCTTATACTCTCGTAATTTAGTTTCAAGTCCAGCTTGTTCCTGTGGTCACCCATGTGAAAACATTAGTCACTTTTTGTTACACTGCCCTGACTACACTCAACAACGAAATATCCTTTTTGGCAACTTGAAAACACCGATTGGCTCCCCTATTGATTTGGATAATCTTTCTGATGATATTCTGCTACATTTTCTTTTAAATAGTTCTTCTTTTCTCTCAACAACGTACAATATTGAAATATTACAATATGTCTAGGTATTTTTGTTGGAATCTCACCGTTTTTTGTAACATAGTTTATTGATCAATCCCGTCAGCATTTATATATATATCAGTTTTACCTCTCCATTGATTTATAATAGTTTTCAATTTCAATATGTTATCTGTGCCTTCGATATATGGTTAGACATCCAGGTAGAACGATACGCCAAAAAAAGAGTTACTCAAGCAACTTTCAAAATCATATCCAGTTGCTTGGCGTATCTGTGCTTTGCTTGTCGCATGTATTATGTATTGTCTGGTAGCGACATGAATATAAGTGTATCTTGAGTGTGTCGCCACCGCGTCTTGTCATTATATGTTTCAATAAAAAAAAACGTTTCTTCGCGGCTCGGCTTCTCTGGCAGCTATCTACCCAATACAAACAGTCCAAAAAAATTCACAACCTCCCACCCAACATCTGCTTGGGAAATCAGACACTGGCGAAGGCATGAAAATTGTACCATGCCCTCCATGTATATTATGTATGTGGTCAATCGTAATAAATAAATAAATAAAAATTAAAAAAAAAGATGGCAGAAACTTGTACCTTTGCAGCTAGAACAGCTTCAGTTGGCACTTCGGGACTCTTCCTGGCTGGACGAGAACTCGTGTAGAATGCCTCAGGTCCCGGGTGCTGTTGTTCATACACGGGGCGTTCTTCGTGTGTGGCAAACAACCCAAGGCTAGGGTACATACGCAGTTGTGTTGATTGTCTGAATCTGGCTATTTGAATAAAATTAACATTTATGATCACATGACGAAATCCTTGGAAAATGCAAATTACCTGTGCCAGGCACGTTTTTACCATTACCAGGAAGTAGGTAGTTTTTTTTTCAGACTGAAATGGGGAGAAAATGATCATGAGTGGTGCATGTAATTGTTTTCTCTGAGAAGGTTATGCTAGATTATAATGAAATTCTGTAGGTTGTTAGGTCTCATGCCTATACAGTTCTAAATTTGAAAAAGACTCAGATAATTCCCTGAATATTGTAGGATATAACTTGATCTTTTAAAGATCATGATATAGAGGAATAACAACACTACAATATTATATCATAATGACGTCTTGGTTTAATTTCCTTAATTGTGCCTCAAGGTGATATTGATATTTGTATTCATGACATTGTACATATTCGTGTCAGGCAAATCAGTGCAATGAACTGGAAATACACAATCATTACAATAAGTAATATTACTCACATACACAGATTCTGCATATCCCTCATAGGTCTATTGGCCAAACATCAACTGTGTAATCGCAGCCTTATAGTGCTGAATTGATGCAGGGTTTACAATCACATGATACAAATGGTAATAATACACATAATAATACACATAATTCACATTATAATATTTGTTCCACATTTTTGTGGAACTGTCGCAAGGGTCTGTGCGGCTGCCATTCGGCGCCACAAGGTGACCTCAATACAGTTTCCCCAACCAAAGTTAGGTACCCATTCACACCTGGGTGGAGTTAGGAAAGTCGTGTAAAGTGTCTTTCCAAAGGACACAACGTCGGGCGCATTTCCAGGTATGACTCGGGATCGAACCCGGGTGTCCGGGTTCACAGTCGAATGTTCTACCACTACGCCACCCGACGCCACTGTGACCCCACGCAACGAGGTATGACATTACCATCCTTGTCTATACAAGATAGAATTATGTGAACTCCTGCTGATTGCCGTACAGTACGGTTACTTCAATACGCAACTATGAAACATCACAGCAAATAATAAAACAAGGAAAATCGTAGATTTTGTACCTCCGGGTATTGAAATGTGTGTTGCAGAATGTTGGGTGCATGTTGGGACTGTTCTTTAAATTAGTGAATTCGCGCGAATACCATTTTTTCGAAAAGTTTCGAAATGTTTGTAATTGGCTAAATGATCTGTGAAATCACTAATCCCCCTAGCCGACTGGAGCCCAAAAATAGAAAGGACAGGGGGCATCCCGTGGCGAATCTGGCTGCCCGACCCTCAGCGACCAGCGATAATGTAAACAAACACCCGCTCCGGGCGCCAGCCGCCAATCGTCCGGTGCGCGTGTTACCCTTCTAACATGTAAGTAAGGCCATGTTGATTTGATTATATGGATGACATCCTCTGGGAACCCCAAAACTGATGCGCGCGTGCGAATAGTAAAATCTGAGCTTTTTATTGTATACTTTTATATGTTGTTTGTTATATACATGTAGTTGATGGTGTTGAATTTTATGTGTTAGATTTAGCCTTCCTGGTTGTGTTAACACAGGTCAGTATTTTCATCTGCAGCCTATAACATGTACCCACGAACGGGCCGCCACGAACTTATGCCACAAGGAACTCGTAATGAAACTCAGAATGACAACCGGAGCCGTTAAATGGAATCAGACGTTAAAAATAACTGCTGAAGTACCTCCCCGCATGTGCAAGTCATCCTTATTGTCACTTCCTCCATTTTCCGCCGATTCTTCGTATAAATTGGGGAAGTAAAGGTCTGAATCCGCGGTATTTGTAAGTTAGAAGTCGTAATATACGCCGAAAACAACCAACACAAAGGTTGCGCAACAGTACGTTGACCCCTGACCCATTGGCTAACCAGGAAGTGCCGATTACGTGTCCTGTGAACGCGTACTAAAGTATCCCCCCAGCGGGTCCCACCAGGCACGATAATGAGACGTTGATTGACGGCACATGTGGTTCACATCTGAACAGTTTCAAAGAAAGAATTTATCGACAATGCTGACACCCCTCTGTGTGAAAGGTCAGATCAGTGGTCGCGACCTCAATCGTCCTTATACATGCAAAGGTCAAAAGCTGAGGCCCACTTTCACACTGAAAGGGGTGTCCATCGGCGGTCTAAACGCATCATTTTGACGCACTAAAACACACATACTAAAAAACCAAAACAACGTGCACCATCTACAGCCCAACAGCAAAACGTATACCAAGTCCCAGACATATCCGTCCACCCAAACGCGAGAAACGGGTGCGAACGCAATTTTCGTCTTCCCTCACAAAACCTCCGCGCTCGGGATATACATCCCTACCCGGAGGTAACTAGAAATACTTACAAATAGTCATTCGCTAGTATGGTAATATATGCTCTAGTGTAAGGCCGAACAGGCACACGTATTACGTCTACCTGTGAGGTTATGAGCGACCACACGCGTACGGTACATGTAGTATTCACTCCAACATTACATACTCTCATACAGGGCGTTCACTGCTTCTGTAGTTTGGTCGTCAGTTCTGGTAACATCACGAGCCAGGGTTCTGTGACCTGATCGCTGTCCATACAAACTGCTTGTTGAAAGAGAGGAGCTCGTTTTGGTTTGACTGGCACATTCCTCGCAGTTATAAGTTGCTGTGAGATTGCATTGACCCGGATATGTTCTGTGATCTACATTGTGAGATTGTGAATACAAACTGCTTCTCGAAAGAGAGCAGCCTGTGTCGGTTTGGCTGGCACCCTCAGCACAGCGGTAAGCTTCAGCTGTTGTGAGCTCGTATTGACCGGAGCCCGATCTATGATTGAGATGTGTACCTTGTTGATACAGTCTGTTCGCTGCTGCTATTCCCCGTGGCCCCACCCGCTACGATATTCCCGATGCACTCAGTGGGTTGTACAGACATTGCCTGCGGTAAGCTCAAGGCCCTTGTAGCCCGCTGTCTTATATCTGTCGGTATTTGTCTGATCTTGTTGACTCGAAGCATAACCAAAAGGAGCCGGTTACTAGGAATTAACTCGATGGCTTGCGTTGGAAACACAGGCAATCGGTTTACAGAAAGATCGAGGTATTCCAAATTTGCCAAACCTTCAAATGCGCTGTCTGATATGGTAGCGATTAAGTTATTAAGTAGGTAAAGATCCAACAACACCGAAAGGGCAGAAAGGGGGAATTCGCGAAGGGACGAAATTTAATTTGTGGCCAGATTAAGATACAGTAATTCATCTAGCCCTTGAAACGTTTGCCTCGAATGTTGTTTACCTTATTGTTGTCGGCGTAGAGATACCGTATGAATGGAGATGAATTGAACGAACCAAGGTCAGTTATTTTGTTATCTGATAATTTTACGACATGGGCATCTTTGATCTTATCTATTGGGACACGAGATAAGTTACGCCCTTTGTAATCAACGGTTTTCCCAATAGTAATTGTTAACAAAGTAAAAAGGAAAAATGAGGTCAGATATCCCATGTTGAGTCGTGACAACGCCCTCTGCAACAAGACGTTTCCTATGGAAATAAACAAATAAACAAAGAATTACCCCCCAAATTGTCTACATTGGCCCTTCCACTTTTAACAAAAGGAAAATTTTCTTACAAAAACTGTACCTCTTGTCCAAATAACTATAGTATGATAAGTGAGCAATAAGATATTACAGGGTTCGAAAAACCCACTCTCGCCGCGCAAGTCATGTTTTCGGTGCTCAAGTTATCATTTTATTGCATATACACAAAGCGACTTTTTCAAGTTTACAGCGGCCCAGCTTTATACGGCTGCTAAATACTCTGTGTCCTACATTTGTCAATATGTGAGCGATGCCTTTACACGTGGCCTGGCTTACAGCTTGCCTTCTAAACTAAACAGCCGGTGTTGACGGCAACCTGAAATATTGACGGCAAACTAGCTTTTGGCTTTGTTTGTCCAGTAGGCAACCTGAGAAACAAACTGTATTTCGAACCCTGAATATACGTTAATCCATCTCACCTTACAAATAGAAGGTTTAGACGTCCAGAATCTCAGACTGTCGGTGTTTGAATGTCAGAATTGGTGGCACAGTGTGTGAGTGGGTCTGACAAAAACTATACATATCTATTCTAAATGCTTCCTTCTCATTGGTCTAAAAAACTGCGTCAATGCAGTCTAATAAAGTTAGCATATATTTGGTTCAATGATCGGGATTGGTTATTGGTAAGAAAGTATCGTCCGTTACTTTCATATGCAATACTCAATGTCAGTTATTTTTTTACGACATTATCACACCTTCCTGCAAAATGAATTGTCTGGTGCAGTGATTACTTTGTCAATTGTTACTTTGCTTTATTACTATATACTCAAATGTAATTGTTTAATGCATTTATGTATTTGGGTCCGATTTGTGAGAAATGTTGATTGGTCAGGAATTGTCATCCGTTATTTCAACATGGAAAACTGTGTCAATTGATTAATGTTTTACGACCTTTTTCTGCAAAATAAATCAGTGTAGTTATTACTTTAATATAAGGAACCCAATTTGTCTACTACCATAGCTCACCAAAATTTCTAATGCAGTTATGTATTTGGGTCATTCAAACACGCACATCTGATAGAAATAGAGACGAGCCTTGTCTTGGGGTATATGATCTAAACCAGGAGTTAAGAGTTCGGAGATCTCATACTTTTGTGAGACATCTAGACTTTTCTAACTCTCTTCTGTACACCAATAGATGTTAACTGCAGCAATAAAACATAGATGAAAAGATTTATTTATAAATGCATTTATAATCCTTGTGAAGTATATCGCCCAGCATTGTCCTTGGTGCTGATTGGCCATCAGGTCCATGATACGTCCTTGTCCGTGGTGCTGATTGGGTATTACCCCCATCATACGTCCTTGTCCTTGGTGCTGATTGGTTGTTCCGATCTAACTGGCCTGACCTGACTGTCCTAACGACAGGGCTGTATGACAAGTCTGATGACGCCCCTGCTGTGTAGCCTGGCCAGGTAGCGGATCTCGGTGTTGTAGGTGTGACGCTCGTTCTGCAGCTGTTCAGTCCCCACCTGGTAGTAGTGGTAGTTCAAAGGTCTGCCGCGGGGATCGACGGGAAACGGCCACATGCCGTACACAGTTATGTGGTCACAGAAGGTCATGTCCAAAAACAGGGCCATAATGCCGGTAGTCGGCGTCAGCGCCCAGCGACTTTGCCGTAAAATCCTCTGGAGCAAACTGGAACAAACAGAGAGGGTGACTCTGGGTCAGCTGAGGCAACAACAGTGGAAGTAACATGGTACTAGAGAAGTAACATTTGCTTTAAAATGTTTACCTTCGGACATGGTCTGCCCTGTTAATTTTTACTCAAACACATTCACATACATGTACTACGAGTATATGGTGACATGAGTAGAGCAGACCATGAAATTGCAACATTATGTCACCATGGTGGCAGACGTCAACAAATCATGTCATTGGCCAGGTCAGAGGTTAGTGTTTGGAACAGAAGAGGAGGAGGAAGAAACTGAGTAAAAACAATATGTTTTCCTTCGGTAAACATAAATATTAACATGAAACTTGGAGAACACCAGTAACATTTGCTTTTGTCCGCAGTAGCCTATTCGAGTACTCACTCGTATGCGATAGCTAGGTCGTGTGTTCTATTCCCTGATCGAGTTATACCATCATGATATATCAAATATACAAATGGTGCTTACTGCTTCTTTGCTTGACACTTGGAAAGCTGGGCACACAGTGCTATCAACGGACATACTGTACCTGAACAGCGGCGTGCCACAAGAGCTAAGGAAATTGCGACGGGCGCCCTTACTGACCATAAGGTGTGGGAAGAAGTTGAACTTCAGTAATCTGTGAGACATCTTTCCTGGCTACTGTATATCTCCGATCACCCTAAAGATACGAGGGTATTTGTCCACTCTATTTCCATGCAAAATTTCAGCTCATTTGACCCCAACGTTCAGAAAGTGAATCAACTTGACAAAATGAAGAAGAAACATAAGGAAAAACAATATATTTCATCCATACCATGGTATGGAGGGAAATATAAATATCAGACACTTAATGTGACAATGTTAAGGTTTTACGCGACACCACACCATGGCACCCAACACAACGAATAAGACAAGACGTTCTTATTCTAAGACACCTCTATTCTAAGCACTGATCTTTCCAAAAAGCTTTTCAGCCTTTCTGAACAATCGGTTTGCTATCTCTGAATTTCTATCAGCTAACTTTCAAAACTATCAAATCCGTAATAATGTACATACTCACACATTTACGGGGTTTGCCATGTTCCTCTGTGCGTAGGCCAGTGTGATATTGATATGATACTGCTTCAAATATCTCTTCAACTTGTCATTCAGCCCAGTCAAAATGCGAGGTATATTGTTATTTCTGACCTTGGAGTAGTGCAGAATAGAACCGTTCAGTGTTTTGAACTGCTTTATCATGTTTATTTCTCGTGCAGTGTCATTTAAATCATCCCAGAGGTCATATATACTCTCGCCGTTCAGCATCATGTGACTGGTTTTGGTCCCGACGTCCTTTTCGAATCCCTCGGTGGGCGCCATGTTACATCTGGACACGAAGTGATGCGCGTCGATAGCCGCGCCACAGCTGCTGTTGTGTAGTATTCCGCCGTTGCCGACGATCGCGCAGGAGTTGTACCGTCCCACCGGCGTCCTGAACCGGTAAGTCAGGTTCTGCGCCTGCAGACGCAGGAATTCCCGCACGTTCCTCCGGAAGTCGAAGTAATACAGCAGGTGTTTCCTAGGATCCACGTCACGGCTGATCTTTGACCTATATCAAGGTAGGTAAAAGGTAAAGGTAGTCCCATTCACCAGTTTCCCATCCCCAGAATACAACGCAAAACAGGGGGCTAAACCTCATTTGCATAGGACAGGAAGGCATCGGAATGATCCTGGTGACTTTAATTAAACAGCTTGCTTTTCACTGTGTTTTCAGGTGTTGGGTTATTTTATGCTCAACATTAATTAAAATACTATGGGTCGAATCTGACAACAGATAGAGGATGAAGTCTTTGTGTTCTTTTCAACATGCAACATGTGGTTTGTAACGTTGCAGCATCATACAGCGTTACCGCTATAACGTTACAAACAATTCATTCCAAAAAATTCATTTTCTTTTTGTTGCCAGATTCAACCCATAGTACTTTAATTAACATTGAGCATAAAATGCCCCAACATCTCAAAACACACTGAAAACAAGCTGTTTAACGTCACCAGGATCATTCCGATGCCTTCCTGTCCTATGCAAATGAGGTTTAGCCCCCTGTTTTTGCACTGCATTCTGGGGATGGGAAACTGGTGAATAGCCCAAAGGAAGTGGGTTGCTATCCACTGCCTTCCACCGGCGCCTCAGTTCACCTCCCCAACCGAAGTCAGGTACCCACTTTTACACCTTGGTGGAGTGGGGATTGTTGAGAAAAGCGCCTTTCCCAATTACAAGAGATCCATGACGCTGCAGGATTCGATCCGAGGATCTCTCGGTTCTAGGCCGAACACCCTGCCGTTACGCCGCAAGACCTTAGCCTCTACCAGGCTTGAGGGCACGGCTGGATTATAGTAGAAATCGGCCCGAAATAGAGAGATAACACGCCGAGGGAGTTTAGCCATCCAGTTTACAGTTTG